ATTCCAACAAGTATACAGAACAGTAATATGATCAAGTCATAAATCACTGATAAAACTACCTTGGAGCACATAATAACTTAACGTACTCTGCTCAGTCAATAATCTAACATAAAAAAGAAAATATGCAAATAAATCAGGTAAACAACCAAAAAATTACAAGTAAAGATAAAATTCAATAACCAAAACATCAATCCATTGCGGTGCGCAACTCGATCTAAATAGAAATCACAACGCGACTCTAAGGCCCACATCAGAATTTCATTAATCGAACCAAAACACAGATCGGCTATCCCAAAGCCCTCATCAACTAGAAAGTCGTCGATTTCTTACACTCCGCGTGTACACCATCAAGAAGAAACATGAGAGGGTGGCCCTAGGGGAATGGATCCATATCCACATGTTGCACGGCGTAGTCACATGCAATCAGCCCAACGTTATCACATGCTCAATATCACAATCCGCCTGGTGTGGTCACATGCTCAATATCACAATTCGCCTGGCATGGTCACATGCTCAATATCATAATTCGCACAGACTCAATATCACAATCCACTCGGCATGGTCACCGGCTCAATATCATAATTAGCCCGGCATGGTCACATGATCAATATCACAATCCCCCTTGCATGGTCACATGCTCAATATCATAATCTGCCCGGCGTGGTCACATGCTCAATATCACAACCCGACCAGCATGGTCACATGCTCAATATCACAATTTACTCGGTGTGGTCACACGCTCAATATCATAATCCGCCCGACATGATCACATGCTACCAGTCCAATCCATACCACACAAAAAGTAGATATACATGAATACATGTACATGATCAATAAATATCAAATTTCATACTCATGGACTTGCATAAGTGACATGCTAAGGTGTATGCATGTGCAAAGTATGCTATCATAGCTCAAATCAGGCAAATACATAATGGAAGTAGCAATTATCAGGTTCAATCAGAAGATTAATCTCTATGTGACCTCAAACATGGCTCAAATAGCTCACAGCATGGTACAAATATAAGAAACATCACAGCATGAAGCTTAGCATTCAATTCAAGTCATATTATAGTCTAAGTACTACCCCGAGCATGAATAATTACCCCGGTGCACGCTCATGGGCTCAACCCCACACATGTGCGTCACTCATACCACATAACTATCACAAATAACTCAGGAAACTAGTGCCTCAACCAAGTTTAGGTAAGATACATACCTCAAACAAGCCAAAACAATAATCTAGAAACACCATCCCGCGCGAATTGAGCTCCGAACGGCTCAAAACTAGCCAAAAGCAACTCAAAAATATCATATAATGCCATAGGAAATAAACCCAAACGATAAAGGTCGAATCTTTAATCAAATACTCAAAGTCAACCAAAAGGTCAACCGGGCTCGCACCTCAAAATCCGACAAAACTCACAATTTTCGATAACTCATTTGAATACAAGCCCAACCATGCTAGTTTCACTCAAATCCAACTCCGAATCAATCTTCAAAATCCAATTATTCACTTTAGAAAAGTTTTGATAAAAAACCCCAATTTCTCTTTTAAATTCATTAATCAAATACCGAAATCAAAGATGAACTCATGTAAAATAATTAAATCTGAGTAAAAAATACTTACCCCAATCCAAATTGTGAAAATCTCCTCCAAAATCGCCCAAATTCGATCTCCCAAACTCACTATGTGATAAAATAACTCAATCCTCGAAATATAAAGTCTGCCCAGGCATCTCCGCATATGCGAACCAAATAGCCACATGTGCGAGTTCCACTGAAGTCCCGACCTCTCACACCTGTGGAACATCTTCCGCTTCTGCGACATCGCAGGTGCGAGGAAAGATCCGCATCTACGCAATCACCCTTCCAGCCTTCCCTCTCGCTTATGCGCCAGAGTGACCGCTTCTGGTCCCGCAGATGTGCTAAGCACTCTGCATCTGCGAACTCCTGCCCCAACTCAATAATGCGCTTTTGTGCCTCATCGACCATATCTTGCGGGTCCGCACCTGCGCCCAAGGTTTCGCAGGTGCGACCACACCAGACCCCTACCAAAACCAGCAATATTCTACATGACCCAAAATGATCTGAAACCCGTCCGTAATGCACCCGAACCCCTCGGGACCCCGTCTGAACATAACAACAAGTCCCAAAATATAACACATTCCTACTTGAGGCCTCAAATCCCACAAAATAATATCAAAATCATAAATCGCACCTCAATTCAAGCTTAGTGAACTATTTCAAATTTCCAAATCCCAGACTTATGCCAAACATGTCTAAACAACTCAGAATTACCTCAAATTTTGCATACAAACTCCAAATGATATAATGAACCTATTCCAACTCCCAGAACAATAATCTGAACCCGATAACATCGAATTCAACTCCCTATCAAACCTCTGAACTTTTCAAACCTCCAAATTTCCAACCTTCGCTGATTAAAGTCAAAATCTCCTAGAAATATCAAAATGCAAATCCGGGCATACGCCCAAGTCCAATATCACCATTCAGACCCATAAGAATCATAAAAACTCCGATCCGAATTCAAATACATAAAATTTAAACTTGGTCAATTGTTCCAACTTAAAGCTTCCTAGTTGAGAATCATTCTTTCAAATCAATCCTAAATCACTCGAAAACCAAAACTGACGATACTTGCAAGTCATAATACACCATATGAAGCTGCTCAGGACCTCAAATCACCAAGAAGAATGCAAATGTTCAAAATGATCGGTTGAGTCGTTATAAATATATTGGCTGCACTTCAGACCTATTTGGCCTTAAGTGCATCTAAAGAGCAATGTTTTCACTTCAGACCTATTTGGCCTTAAGTGCATAAAAATATTAGTTGCATTTTAGTCCTATTTGGCCTTAACTACACCTGAAGTATAATTTTTTTATTTCAGATTTATTTGACCTTAAGTGCATGAAAACAATGGTTGCACTTTAAATCTGTTTGGCCTTAAGTGCATCTGAAGTGCAATTTTTTTACTTCAGACCTATTTGATCTTAAGTGCATGAAAATATTTATTGCACTTCAGACCTATTTGGCCTTAAGTGCATGTTAATTGTACTTTAGACTTACTTGACCTTAAGTGCATTGTACTTCAGACTAATATTTTTTAACTTCAGACCCGATAAGTATGAAGTTAACTCTAAAGTGGGTAGACTTGCAAAATTTTGTGCAAAGTGAGTATAAGTTCAATTATGACCCCAAAACTGGGTATATATGCAAATGCCACTCCGTTTGTTTTTCATCAATAAATTTATAACCAATATTATGCTTTTGCAAATTTTAGTTATGATCAATCCAATAACATGTAACAGTTAAATAATCATTGTCATTAGGACTACGACATATATGAGAAGTGACACACACTTTACAATTAAGTAGTAAAATACACAATATATATATATATATATATATATATTGAAGATAGTCATAATAAAATCTAAAAATATCATTTCTAACTATGTTGTAGGAAAACTTTGAAAAGCATGATTATACATTTCTTGTATATAATGCACAAAATCGTGGTGAGAAGGAAAACTAAAAGGTAAGCCATAGACAATAACTATTTTTGCTATATTTTTGCAATCTATGTCTTTGTTATATGGATGTTGTAAATCACCAGTGGTAGGTTTTAACTGTTATTGGACACAATTAGTACCCCGGCAGATTCACTAGGAGAGCCAATAACGACACTAGGATCTGGTACTAGGCCGACATCTATTCGAGCTTGTAATCATCCAGCTTTGTGTTTTTGCTCCAAGCGTCTCCTTAAAACCCCGTGCCATCTGCTCTTCCGCTGGATCCATGTGCAAATTGCAATCTACATTTGTTACAAGTAGCAACACATGTAATTTTCTATGACATGTTGCCTTAACCTTACCCCTGATATGAGGTACAAGGGAGGTCGAGCTCCAAACTGAAATTTAGTCTAAGTTGGAGCTTTTGTAACTGGACTAGATAATGTTTTATTTAATTCTTCTTCTTCTTTCTCATTAATATTACCCAAATCATTGCCAAAATATCTTTCTAAAGTTTCGTTATCTAGTGGCTCCTCCGAATTAATATCATAAAATTCAACGGGTTGGGTAAAAGAAGTTTTATCAAGATAAGTATAATCCTCTCTACGTTTTTAGTTTTAGGAAGAGGATTAGAATTATTACTAGAACTAGCACCTTTACTATTTTTTTCAGAAAATGAGTTGGGTATGCCTAATATCTTTTTAGGAGCCATAATTTTAAAAATATAATAAAATTAAACTTTAAATTAATTGAAATATAATAAGTTAAATACAAAAATAAATAAAATTAAAAGATGGACTGCGCGTACCAAACGTCTGCGTAAAAGCAGACGATTATAACCGTTACTTGAAGCTTGAAATTTGCTCTAAATTTTGCCCAAATACTTGAAGCTTAGATGATTAGCAAATTTAGAGAGAGAGCAAATTATGAAAAAATTGAAGAAGGATGGAGGGTATTTATTGTTTAGAATTAGGGCCATTATTGTTTAGAATTAAAATAAAAGTTGGGAGAGAGGAGGGGATAAAGGGCTGTTTTAGCCGTTTTTAGTTGTTGTCAACGACCAGTTTTGAAATCAGCCATTGGCCAACAATTAATTTTGTAATAAGCCGTTGGCCAATGACTAGTTTTTTTTAAAAAATAATTTTTAAAATAATCTGGTAGGATACCGAGACGGTATTGATCATCAATACTGCGACCCATCCCATGACTCGTCCTCGGTCTCCCTCCGCTCTAAACCGTCCCCGCTACCCTAACCTCGGACCGAGATTTCCCGTCCCATTAGATAACCATAGAATAGAATATAATAATAATAATAATAATAATAATAATAATAATAATAATAATAATAATAATAATAATAATAATAATAATAATAATAATAATAATAATAATAAGAATAAAACAGCATAATTAATTTTGACATAATAATTTCTGTGTTACATAACTGTCTTTGAACCCCTAAAAACGCCAAGGCATATATCGCCCTTTGGAGCCAAATGCGCAGTGTGGGAGGCATTTAGCAGGAAATTCGTTATCCATTGGCGTCCTTTGCTCGAGCATTAACGACACTGTAAGCTGAAGAGGAAGAGAAACATGATGATCTTGTTTTTGATATTCCTTGCTATCTTCATAGCCTTCTTCATCAAGTTCCTCACTGCTGATGGTAAATACTCATTCATATGGATACATTTTGAATTTGAATCTGACTGTTTAACAAAGGATTGAAATTTCAAAATTTTATTATCTTATCAGGGGACTTTACATTACTCTCCAAAGGGAAAGTCAAACGCGAAGAAATCGAAGATAAGGTCTGAGTTTCTGATTTTTTGGGGAAAAGAGCTTGGTTTGGAGTACTATTCTGTTGATGTGTCTAGTTTACTCTCAAATTTTGAGCCGATACTTTTTGTGTGTTTTTCTAATTATTTATTTATTTTCTTAATTTTGAATTTAAGTGCAGGTTATTTGGGTTACCGGAGCTAGTCGCGGAATAGGTATTTGGTTTGTAGGATGTTAAAGTATTTTATCTTATCTATCTATCTATTTATTTATTTATATGGAACTGGTGTTTACTACATACGTAACAGTTGAACTTACTACATACATAACAGTTGAACTTCTCATCTTTATACTATGCTCATTGGTCAATAAAACTGTCACAAGTTTGTCATCTCACGTTAACGCTGTTACTCAAGTTAGTGTCACTCTCTCAATAAACTAGTTCGTCTGTACATTTGGATATTGGTGAAAAGGGGAGATTCTTGCCAAACAACTTGCAAGTTTAGGGGCAAAACTCATTATATCTGCTAGAAATGAAGCTGAGCTACAGCGGGTCAAGCAACAACTTACAGGTAATGCTTTCTCAATGATGCAGGATAAGCCTCTTGATTTCTTACTTTGACTTACTGATCTTTAAATCCTGGTTTTTGTTTCGCATTATTGTGTCAATTAAAATCAGGAAAGTATGCACCAAGAGATGTGATGATTTTACCACTGGATTTGACATCCGGGGAGGAAAGTCTGAGAGTCGCTGTAGAGAAAGCTGAATCATTTTTTGATGCAGCTGGAGTGGATTATATGATTCACAATGCAGCCTATGAGCGACCAGTAAGTAGATAATATTTGTTTATAATTGAAGCCACAATTAATTGCACTTTCAGTATTGGCCATTTAATTCTCTTGAATGTAAGTCATTTTTTGAATCAGATATTCTTTTGTGCTTTCATTTGGATTCATTAATTATAATATTATTCCTTTTAGTCTATGACGGAAGGTCTCGTTGGGAACAAACTCATCTTATGGAGTCCTCTTACCCAGGAACATTTCAACATCAAATAAACAGATCATTAGTAACCCTGTGAATATCGAGGATATTCAATTCTTTTGCTAGTCCTACAAAGCCTAGAACAAGAGGATGTTTTCAAGAATTGGAAACTCTAATGTTTTATGGAGATGCTTTGGCTAACTGTGTTCTATTTAGCATTTCAATCTAGGCAAATTGTGAACTTCTGCTATGGGCCTTACAATATCAGTTGTGCAACGAAAACTCATCCTTCACTTCTTAAAGATTTTATAGGAGTACTTATCAATCTTTATGTTTAACTTTTGTGCCTCTCCTTTTTTAGCTGGGGATGAAGCAAAAAGATATGAAGTCCAGTTTGTTATATATTTTACGAGGTCACAGTAGGAAGCAAATATAAAAGCAACACCACTTTCACACAGTTTCTTAAAGAAAAGAAAACTACAAATTTGTGGATTTCTTTAAGGTTGAGGGTTGACACTTTCTTAGGATGTTGAATTAAAACTTCAATTATTGTTCATTCTGTCTGGTTCCAATGTAAGCTAGTAAATTTAACCTTGAGTTCCCTTTTAAATTCCTTTGTGCTAAATCTTCTATACTAACTACTACTGAAGTACTGTGGAAGGGTGGGAGAAGAGAGAGAGAAATGACTATAAAGGATCAATTGAAATTTGCAACTCTCTCTTTGTAGCTTGTAGAACTTTAAAATCTGGGGTTTCATTGAGTTTCTGTTTGAATTGACTTTAGATCATTGTTAATGTTACGAAGATGTAGTTAAAAATTACCGTTCTTCTTTATTCCAGAAATCTACAGCACTGGATGTGACAGAAGAAACTCTCAAGGTATCATCTTATATAAAGCTTGTTGTACAGATAAGGTCCATATCCATCCCTAGCCTATAAAAATCCACCATGCTAGTCTGTTCATGGGTTTTTTTCTTAATCATTTCAATCAGAGCTAGCAGCCTCGTAATTCAGTAAATATGCACCCACAACCACAACTAATTTGTTCTAACAGAATATGTTAAAACACGAGAAAGTGTTTGTCAACTGCTATACTATGTCCACAAGAAGAATAGTCTTCAGCTATTATTGTTTATCTGTTGGTTTCCAAAGATAGTTTCAGCTAGCACTACGTTCTTGCAAGACTATTTTGCCTTTCAGTGACTTTCATAAGCAATTGACTTAAGGAAAGAAGATATATCTCCTGAGTTAATTATCTATAAAAAGAATGGGCTGTATATCCTTAGTGTGCAAAAATTAGGAAAGTCTGTTGGAGGGCTCAGGCTTTGGAGTTCCGAAGATATTCTGCAGTGTGAGATTGAGGGCTTATTTCAGGCTGAGGTCAAGACCCTTGAGGTCCTTGAGGCAGTATCACTGTCAAGAAATACTAGTTATCGAGAAGGATGGTGGTTTTGCATGTCAGATTTCTTAGATATGTCGGGTTACAAGGTTCATTCTGTTGCCACCATGAGACAGGAAAGATCATACTGGGGTTGAAAGGAGATGGAGATGACAATTAGGGATTTCATTGGTCTGGCTTAGAATGGATGTGGAAGCTTCTGTACCATAGAAGTGAGAGATAATAAGATTTGTTGTGAAGTATGTGATGCTGGAAGCAGAGAAAAGAAGCCAGTTGGTTATACTGAGAATTGGGTTTTGCAATAGGAGCATCAAAATCCTTTGATCATTCATGCTGTGTGACAAAGTTCAATTAACGTGTTGCTTTTCATATAGTGAGATATGTGAATATATTTTGTATATCTAGGAGAGAGAAGAGGTTTTACATGCTGAAAAGGGAATGGAGGAATGTTATCTTTTTAGCACACTTGTGCACCCAAGTTACCTAGGGTAAGCAAAATGAGCCCGAACTAGTAATCATGAGAAATAGAGAAATCAAAGCCGTGATGAAATTTCTCGGGATAAAGAAAGCTAAGTTTGAGCTCAATTGCTTCCCTTGAAATAGGGGCTCAATATCTTGCTTACCTTACACGTCATGCGCAGAATAGAATGGTCAACTCTAGGGTGATAACACCAATATGAAGTGGATGACATTTTAATGAGAGGATGGTAGTTTGTTCTACTCTGGGGGTCATCCAAATGTGGAGCAGCTTTGCATTTGAAAGGTCTTCCTGAATCTCCATTATCTTTAGTTAATGTGGTAGGTTTATGGGACAACACAGAATTCATATGAGTAAATTGAGTAGTTTTAAGGAGTTGTATTGCTTTTAAAGTCAAATGAGGAGAGAGCCAGAATTTCTTATACTGAAGGATTTGGTTAAAGAAATGGAGAAGAGGCAAAAAATCATAGGTTGTGTAGCAAAGAGAGTTTAGGAGGCCAGGACACCACCGTCATAAAAAAAAAAAAGAAAAAAAAGAGAGAGTTTATGAATGAGAACAGATTGAACTGGTACAGTAATAGCAGGAAGATGGAAAGCCAAAGATTTCAAAGCAATAGCAGGAAGAAAATTGTAATTGTCGCTCACTGTTTTGATTTCTGAATATATGTTGCCCGTGCTGTTCTTGTAGGCTTTGTAGAATCTAGCTTGTAAGCGATGTCAATTTGAGGTGTAATTAGCTGGATGCTAAACTTTTTTTTCCCCTGAATTTGGTGACAACCCCTTCTTAGCGCACAGCTTTATATATATTGATAAATAACTTACTGTAAGAAAAGAACTGTTTCCTGTGGTGGCTCATCATTCCAACATGTAAGTATCTTTTGTTGTCATGTCATCCCTATAGCGGGTATGAGTAATTTTAAGGAGTCTCTTTTATTTCAAAAGAGGGGGTTGTCTTTTGCTCATGCAAATTGAGATAACATGCTATGAAGACGTGGTTAAAGAAATGAAAGGAAGAGGCGAAACTTGGAGGCTAAGAGCAAAGAGAACTGAGGAGGCTTGATCACAGAGTTCACAACTACCACAAAAGTAGGAGAATGGAGGGCAAACAGAATTCAAGCAACAGTGGAGGAAATTATAGATAGTACTTTAAGTCCATTTGGTCTCTAAATATGCATCGTGTGGGCCTCGTAGTTTTTCTAGATGTCTAGCTTGTAAGAGTTGCCAGTTTTGGGTTTGATTAGCTAGGTGCAATAGTGTTGTTTTCTTATTGCAGGCCTTTCCTGGTGCAGTTCTTAATATATTAACTTTTTTTCTTCAAAAGGGGAGCTTTTCTTTCTCCTGGTAGAGACTTTTGTCATCTAACGTATGAGCATCTTTATGTTGTTTTTATCTCTAACAGAGTGAATTATCAGAAAAAGAGTCCTAAGGCTCGTATGGCTCTTGTTTTAGTTTCTTTGAACAGGTTGGCATTGGTTCAGTTTTTATGTTTGAACTATTCTTATATTAGTGTTTTCTGTTCTGAATTTCATGTCCTTGTGGATATCCTCATATCCATCTACCCACTGCGACTTGATAATATATGACATTCGATTATGCATATATGTCCTCATTGTGTTACTTCAAATACTCATATTGTATCTGATCTGTTAGTAGGCAACATTAGATGTGAATGTTGTGGGCCCCATATCGCTGACGCGGATGCTTGTACCTTACATGCTGAAGCAGGGAAGAGGACATCTGGTTGTGGTAAGTAGAATGATCAGAGGTGCCGCACATTTTGGTGACAACAGTTTTCTTGATGCCATAACCTGATAGCAAATCTGTTCCAGCCAAAAATCTACAAATTTGTCAAATAGGCGAAGTAAAACTTTGCAATCTCATAAATAGTTCACCAAGAGTTATACATCCTTTTTTTCTTGGCAAAATTCTCTTGGCTAGGCATGCAAGTGAAACTCGACTATGTCCTTGATCTATAATCAATATGCCTGACATCATAATTCTCAGGGAAAAACTGTGATTTATCATTTTCTTATTAGAATCAGGTAGCTGCATTTTTGTATACCCTCATCGCAGGATTATGGAAAATTTGTCCTCCTTTGTATTTCAATTTCATTGTAATTATGGGCACAAGTGTTAGTTCTCTGTACTTTATATACCCCTGGATGAGGAGAGGGTAGAAAAAATTCATTTGATTTATTTTTATATCCAGATGAGCAGTGCAGCAGGAAAGACTCCTGCACCAGGTCAGGCAGTATACTCAGCTTCCAAATTTGCAGTAAATGGGTATTTCCACACCTTGCGTTCGGAGGTATACATCATAAATCATCTGACGGTTCCTTTCTATACATTAATACAAAATTTTTAGTTGCTTTCTTCAAAGGCTGCAAGATCTATTTGGATAATGACTGAATTTGATAATATGTCTAAAACATTTCAAATGCCACAATTGTATGCTTTTAATTATAGGTGTGAAGTGATAGGTGCCCATCCAAGAATGTGGAATGTTATGTGCTTGGAAAAAGATAAACATGAAATATACCTTTTCCATTGCCTAACAATTTTGTTTTGGGGTTCTAGCAATTACTTTCCATAACCTAACTGTCTTCACCATATCTAAAGGAAGTGAATTTTGAAGAAGACTGATTAAAAAACCTGCTGGTCTATAGTCGCATTACTTGAGCTACATCATATTGAGCACAAAAGGTTGCATCCTTTTGCATCTATGCACCCTTATGTACTCAAACTAGTTAAAGATGTATGGTGTCCTCGTCTAACTGATCTTCATTGAGTCCAGCAAATACTCTGTTCTTAGAGGAATGAGGAAGGATTACTTCCTAGCTATGCCTTCTCTACATATATACATTTCTTCAAGCTTCTGTGGATCCTATCTTTCATGGCGGAAGGCTTCAATTTTTGGTTGATACCATCATTCTTCTTAGTGCTCTATGACTCACTGAAGCTATGTGCTTCTCCTCATCACTTTTCTTTTCCTTTCTTAGTCAATGAAATTATTCAAGTGTGAAACTTTCATATGTACATAACAAACAATGTCCTTTTAAGCTGGTAGCTGAATTTGGGCCAGTATGAAGTTTGATTCCAACATCCACATTATTATCATTATTATTCTACACTTCCTCGATACCTTCATATATGTTCCGGAACCCTTGTTATTATCATCTTATTGCTTTTACTTATCCTAGCATTAATCTAATTCTTTTCCCTTTGCAGCTTTGTCGTAAAGGAATCAAGGTCACGGTAGTTTGCCCAGGGCCTGTAGAAACTCCCAATCCAAAAACTGGTTCAACTGAGGTGACTATCTTTCTCTTAATTCAGATTAGATGTTTTTGTTGCTGAAATTTTACAGTAATACCACTCAGGCTGAGCAATGCTGGTAGTCCATCTTCTGGAACTTCTAGGCAGAATGAAGGGATCTATTATTGGATTTTGCCAGGAGATGAACCATATACTGAGTGGAATTTCCCACGCATCTGTTTTCATGAAATGGGACATAAATGTGAAGTGCAGCTCCTATCTTAAAGTTAGGCTTAGTTATGATATTTATTCTCTCAGTGTTCTGACTTGTGATGATGTTTGAAGCATAATGTGATGAAACGATGGTAGGCTTTTGTCCTTGCCCGTTGGGACCTTTCATTTTAGGTTTCTGATCCTGTCATTTTAAAGATGGAGTCAAAATTTAAAAATTATTAAGGAACTCCTATGAGGATGTACTTCTCCTTTAGCATTCTAAAAAGTGGTTGATTTATGTTTAGTTGTGAAAATTCATTTTAGAGAAGCTATATTGTTGGCATCCTGGCTGTTCATAATGATTATTTGCTGTCAAGTGTAGCTTGGAGGATGATAGTTGACAAATTCACTTACTTTGAGAATCATCTGTTCTCAATCTCTCTCTCCCCTCTGATTTAATATTGTCTACTTCTCCAATCTCTTTTTTTCTTCTCTACTCCTGTCTTGTTAGCACAATAAAACATCTCTCTTGGTACTAAAGCAGTCCCTCATAGGATAAGAATCCGAAGCCTATACTGATGTTAGTATATGTGATGATCGTAATTCTGCCAACACATGCTACCGGAACTAGGAGTATTTTTCTAAACGGAGCACATAATGCATTAAAGCTTTCGTCACTCTCAGATGAAACATCTGCAACTATATTTTGCTACTATGGTACTCTTTGACGGAAAGAACAATTCATCTGATTTGGACCAGATAAATCTCTTCCCTCGACTATGCATATGCTTTCAGTATCAAGTTTCCTTTTGCTCACTTATTTTGATACATTCATAGCATGTGAAGCATGTGGATAATTTTTGCAAATTGTCGTGTTAACTCTTTTATCTTACAATTATATATAGCGGCGTGTATCATCAGAGAGGTGTGCGGAGCTGACAATTATCGCTGCTAGCCATGGTATCAAGGAAGCTTGGATATCTTATCAGGTTTGATCAAGACATTTACTTTAGCAGTTGTCTTTTCAGAAATTTGTTAATCATCGAGGTTCTGGCACATTTATCGTAATTTAAATTGCTACAAGGGTGTATACGAGGGACTAGCAATTTAGCATAAAGATTTTGTGACAAAATGCCGATGCTATAAAATTAGTCGTGATGTGTAGTTAAATTTCTCTTGTAAAGAGTATGTGGCAATAATATGCTTACACATTTATGGCTTATTTACGTTCTTTTTGTGTTTTTATACTCATGTGGTTGTTTTCAAGTAAACTTACTACACCAGCGTCCCCTCTTTGTTTAGTTGGTTGAAGGCTGTCCTGTTACAGTGTCCAATGTCTTTTAGCAATACATAACATGAAATATCTAATAACACTCTGTCTGCTAAATTGATCGAGTGTCTAGTTGTCCCATCCAATTCGCATAAGTAGGACTCCAACGTTCAGTACTTCATATTATACTCTTAATCCGTTCTGTACTCTTTTTTTCTTTAATACTAATTTCTCTTGCATATATGCAAATAGCAACTAGTAGCACTAATATTTTGGGTACTGTTGCAGCCTGTGCTTGCTGTTATGTATTTGGTGCAGTATATGCCAACGGTTGGCTATTGGCTTATGGACAAGGTACTATATGGTTATTGCGCAGAGCTTTGGTTATTTCCAATTTGGAATCGTCTCGAGACTAATGGATTATGCATTTAAGCTATATAGACTAATAGTATTAAGTAATTTTTACACTATTATAGCAGGTTAGGAAAAGTATTAAGTTTATATACCGAGATGACAAACGGGTGCAAGTTTAGGTGGCCCTGAGGCCATTTCGCCTTTAAGTCATATACACTTGACAGAGAAGAATTTTTACACTATCATTGTACGTGACATGTTATAATAGGTTACTTATTATTATTTTGCGAATCAATGCTTATTATATAGAGTTACCTGGTATTTTTTTTAAAAAGTAATTGATTGTGTAAATTCTTTTTTTACACTGTCAGTGCATTAGCTCATCAGAAGTATTAGAACTCTAATCTTGTGTTTGTTATCCAGATTGGTGCAAAACGTGTGGAAGCTGCTGCACAGAAAGGCAACACATACTCCGTCAACTTGCTTTTTGACAAAAAGAAGGAAAGCTAGATAGAAGTCATGTTGGCAGTGAGAACCATGTTTTCAGCGTTCTTTCTCCTTTTCCTCAACTAACTTAGAGATCGTGGGAGTTAATAACAATCGTAGTCTTGTCATAGCATTTACACATGAAAGTAACTTGCAGAATTCCTATAAATGGTATTCCCTCCGGTTCTTCTTATGTCGTTTTAGCAAAAGATTTGTCATTCTAGAAAATAAAGAAGACATTAATTATTTGTTATTTGATTTTACCCTTACTACCTCAAGAAGGTTATAATATTAATTACTCAATTAAGAAAAAGATAAGAATAATTTAGTCAAACAATTTTTTATGATTACCGCTATTATTTAATTCTTTCCTTCCAGGCTCCGTAATGAAGATTAAAACATTAAACTACGGATAAAAATTACCAGAGGGAATAAGTAAACAATCTCCCCATACCAAATCATTGAAAACCTTTAAAGGATTTATGAGAAAATGCTAAGACCAAGCTAATAGGATATCCATTCGAGTGTTCGACCACCCCAGGAAGGACTCACCTATTTGAGGACCCTTCCCTTTTTGATGGAAATGCGTTTTCATTAATAGTTCACTGAAGAAACGAAAATATATTAACTTATCATACAACAAATTTTGTATGGAATTGAAAACAAACAATAATATAACCATAAGCTCTTGCGAAAATGCATACCGTATTTACTATGTTAAACTCTACGAATAGATTATACCCTGGAAAAAACAAAAGCAGAAAGGGGAAGAACTTGGACCTTTTTGAAGGCATTTATTTCACCTCAGGCACAACCATACACCAATATAAGCTATAATAACATAAAGAATCTTCTTTTGAAACCAAAATGGAAAAAAATAAAATAAAAGATCATGTTGCGTTTGGAGCCTAGCTAGTTTTATTTTACAGAATTTTCTTTCCAACTTTTCTTTTACATAGTGTATTTAATGTACAACAAAATCAACTAACTACACTAGTGTTTGCTGCCAAACTGTACTTGTGCTTAAGGTAGGACTTAATAAAAGGATCTAAGTCACCATCCATCACAGAAGTGATGTCAGAAGTTTCATAACCAGTCCTTACATCTTTCACTAGCTTGTAAGGATGAAACACATAGTTTCTTATTTGCTGTCCCCATTCAGCCTTCACTGCATCTCCTCTTATTTGCTTTATTTCAGATGCCCTTTGCTCCTCAGCAATCACCAACAGTTTAGCCTTCAATCGGCTTAGCGCTTTGATCTTATTTGCTAGCTGTGACCTCTCCTCTGCAATGGTGACATTGAAAACCAGTATAAGCTATATAACAACTACGCCTCAACCCCAAACGAGTTGAGATCGGCTATATGAACCCTCATTGACAATGTTGCTCCATTTAAGCTCATCTCAAGCCAGTAGTATAAGCTATACATTTGGGGGGGAGAAGTCGACTTTGATCTATTCCTTGCATTAGATCTCGTTTGTAACTGTTTATTTTTATTTAATTTGTATTGAATATTCTGAAGATGTGTATTGTTCTTCCACGAATATGCCATGTCTACTCCAGTAGCAGCTAGAATATTATAATAGAGTTTTGCAATTAATAGTACTTCAGAAACTACTTGACAGCGAGAAACTCAGACAAGAAAAATGATCTTTGCCATAGTTTTTAAATCTTGCAAGGGAAAGAGGCAAAAAGATGGGAAGTGAGAAAAAAGACAACGAGCTAAGATCAAAGGTAGCGTCGTGTATAACGATTTTACAACTCTAATCTCTCTGAGTCCATCTGTCAATGTACGCCACAAAGATCAAACATTTATTCACTAGACCCAAAAAAGGTACCCCCTCTGAAAGTCGGAACAAAATTTTTCGCTACAGATGTGCACATAATATATAGAGAAACAGGGTATCAAAGAAGAACCTGTACAGCGAACAGCTACACCAGTGGGAATATGAGTGATGCGAACTGCAGTCTCAACCTTGTTAACATTTTGACCTCCTTTTCCACCTGCTCTTGTAAAGCTGATATCCAAGTCTTCTTCAGGAATTTCAACATCCAATGAGTCTTCAGGAAGAAGAGGCATAATCTCAACACCTGAGAAGCTTGTCTGCACAGTGGCCAGTTCAAAGATTTACATATTGTCCAATGTATGTCAATGAGAAGAAATATTTGGTACAAAGATAGACTAAGATGCACGGTGAAATCAGATAAAGAGGTCAACGAAACAATGATACATTGCTCATTTTTCACACAATGATACATTGGGAACTTTCACAAATAGAGAAACAAGAATAATTCAAACAATCTATTAAAAAAGCCCCCTCATTCAGATTTATACAACATCTGTCCATTTTGGCACACCCCAATATATTTGAAGCCATTCACTAATAAAAATATTCGATGCAACTTCATAACTTTCACCAATTCAAATTTTTATTATAAAATCCATGTCCAGTCAAACAAAATCGGAGGGAGTATTTTGTTAAAACCTGTAGTGCCCGCGAAATTTTGAGCAAGCTCGAGTCTCAGTGACACTTGACCATGGGTGATGCGGGTGTATCATGAGCGGACGACTCTAGGTGAGCATCAGGCTCGGACGATCAGGAAACTAGGTAACAAATTAATGTTGGTCGCAGCTGGACGCGTGGGACAAGCGGGAATAGTGATTCCTTGATGTGACAACAGCGCTATAGAGTGAATATTTAAAGGAATGGTCTACAAGTGAATATGTAACTAGTGATACAGTGACCAAGACCTAGAAGTCTGGACTATAAATAGGAAAAAATGGGATTCTTGTTCCCAAAGACAAAAAACCGAGAATCTAGGCATCTGTCCGAGAGTTTCCATCGTACATTTATGAGCATTTGGCCTATTTATGACCCATAAATGAGGATCTAATAAGCAAACACTAGGGTTTTCTTAGAATCTCAAGGTTCTAGAATATCTTCTAAAAAGGAGCAAAAGCGAGATTGACTACCAAAAAGGTAACACTTGTCTGAATCTCGTTAGATAATGTACTGGAGTATGAGTATAGCATTTATAAAGCGTATCTATGATTTTATTGAAATTAGAAACAATTAATGGTGGTAGCTGCGTGTTGAAATATGATGAACAATGGATGGGTATGTTAATCAGTCTTGTAAGACCATAAGTGGCACGAATACCCTATAGATAACATGGAAATGGTGCGGGTGACTTGAGATATCACCCAAGACCATGTATGGAGGTCTGTGAGTGACATGTTTACTGTAAATGTGTAGATTTATCCGTTGAAGACAAGTTGGGTCAATTGAACGTCAGAAACGTGTCAAGGTCAGTGTTGTCAAAGGCGCGCTTAAGCCCCGAAGCGAGGCTCAAAACATGTTGAGCGCTTCGCCTCACTCTGTGGGCGCTTTAGTATCGCATCAAGGCTCATAGGCATACGTTTACTTGACAATGAGTGTAATCCTGAAAAGGCATCATTAAACAATTGATATTTCACTTTATCGTAAATTTTTTTCAATTTCTTTGTCCATATATTTGTTATTCATGCTTATAATCATTAGTCTTAGACTACATATACATATTTTTACTTTTTCTCCAGTTGCGCCTTTTTTCATTAAAGCCCACGCTTTATTTGCGCTTAAAGCCCCAACAGACCTTAGAGCTTTTTTGCGCTTTTCGCCTTTGTTAACACTGGTCAAGGTTGAGATAAGTGGAGACCTAATCTTTCTTTAAGGCTTTTCCCAGAAGTACATGTTACATACATTTTAAAGGTATGGTTTCAAAAGTGGACGCACGCTCGTCCACACAAGCGAGATTGCGTCTCACCAGGTTTGTGACTATGCATTGATCGAGCTACTTTAGGACTCAACTGATATGTTCTGAAATGGAATACAAACTGTTGATGATATTACACAGTTAGAAATGATATTCATGAAATATAAATCTTTGCGGGTAGAAAACTGTGAAGTCTCGGGTTCGAATCCTAGCGGAGACAAAATTCACAAGGTTATTTCTTCCCATATGTCTAAACTTTGGGGGACAGAGAGTTATGGAATTTGGCTATTGACTGGGATTGTTTCCTTTAGCATTGTTTGACTTCCTTGATGCTACTTGGCTAGGTTTTGGGCAATTGGAGGTCAAGAACAAAGGAAAAAGCATAATTTGGGGTAGAAGACTAGCCCGGATAAGGTAAGAACTTGCTTAACCTCGACTTGAGGGAATATTTTCTAAAAATGAAATTATATGCTACATGCTATGTGTTTGGGGGTGCGACGTATATGCGAGGTGACGAGCGTATATGCGGGCACCAAGGTTATATCATATTCGGGGTAGATTTTAGACTTCTTTATGCCTGCTAGTAGGAGGTAGCAGGTACCCGATGGAGGTCGAAGTGCGCGCAAGCTAGCCCGGAAACCACCGTTATTAAAAAAAAAATCTATCATGATCAGTGAATTACTGTAAAAACTGCTGCCCTATGTGCTGGTGCGATGTGAGATAGACTGATATAAGCCCTGATGGGCAAGAGGATGGATCGTTCGACGTTAAGAGATTATGGTGAAACCGACAGATGAAGGACCTGGCAAACGGGAGGTTGGCTCATCTGCTGTGCAAAGGACATGGTAAGAAAGATTGTGATACGCTAAGGCAAGAGGGAGGCTAGCTTGTCCACCATGAGAAAGATGTGCTGAAACTAAATTGATTTGAGTTTGAGCTTTGTCGATCGGGTGGTTGGGTCGATCATCACATAAATGGCGAACCAGAATGAAAAGCTTAGGTGAAATTGCTGAAGAATATGAATTGCTATGCCTAAGAACCAACTCTGATTTCAAAGACTGATTCAATCATGAATATCAAAACTTATGAAATATTTGAAAAGCTATGGAACATATATGATCCTACCTTTTGGAGAGGGAGGTATGAGACTTACAGAGTACATGTTGTGCTCACGAAGAATCAGAGAAATTAAACAAATTTCGAGATCCAGAAACCTATTTATACGCCTAGCCTTAAGCAAAAGAAATATCATTAGTCCTACCATAGAATTCAGCGTTGAAAGTATGCTGCATCTTTAGCGCAAATGGAACCATTTCTCAAAATAAAAAGGAATCCTCCTCTTGAGGTTGGTAAGCTAGCCCAAAACCATGCTCATGGGAAAAAAGTATGAGGAAATTAAAAGAAACCTTGATGTCTTCGCCCTAAGTGCATGCCAGGAAACTCATTCCTCTCATGATTGGAGACTTTTGTCTATTTTTCTCTTACAAGGATAGGATCATTCGTGACTAGGAGAAAGTTAGAATCATCGCCCATCCCAGACTTCTTTTGGTGAACCACACTTCATGTTCAGTGGTGGCCTATCTGGCCAGGAAGCGTCCCCAGCATCAATCTTTTTCTTTTGTTGTCCATAGAGGCTCATGACACACTGTGGATGTTATGTATAAGTATTGATGGCCGTCCGTATTATTTAACCCCAATGGGTCGTATTTCAGTATAAATGCATATTTTGTTCGTGCTAATTTATTACGAAGATACTGGGATAACTGGACCATATATTGCTCGGTGCATTCGGACGGAAATGCTAATTGGTTCGCTCGGTGGGGGATGGAGACGCCAGGTGCCGATCATGCGGCCCTCTGGATTTGGGGCATGAAAAAATCAACATGAGCCTATTTTGAATAATATCAAAGCTCATTTTACTCCATCAGGGATGACTTTTTTTTGGGTACCAGATCCTTTTCCCAAGAAAAATAAGAGATATTTTCAAATAGATAAGAGAAGGTCAATTTCAGGAAAAAATCTGCATCATTATGTGACCATTTAAGGTAAAGAAGGGATTTCGACTTTTCAACACAAATCACTACTTTTAGCAATGAACCTCACCACACAAGCGAGGGGAGGGGGAAAAGCTCCAAAGTGACCACAGAATGACCATTAGTCTACCACAGTTACAGGAAGAAGATGTCCTCAGAAAATAAAAATACAAAAACTGGAAAAAAATCATGAAACGAGTTGATCGAACCACCAATACTTTCTACTTTAGCTCAATTAATACAACTACCCCATACATGCTCTTGCTCTTTGGACCATAAAAGAGCAAATGGAACCATTTTCTCCCACTTCAGAAGCGTAAGAGAACAATTACATGCTCTTGCTTCGAACCATAAAGATCAAACGAAACCATTTTCTCCCACTCTCTCCAGATTCATCAGAGTTCTCTTTGTTTTTTTATCATGCTCTGAAATTTTTCTCTCAACTTCATCTTATTATACAGTGAGATAACTAGTACCATAAAGAAGCAAGCATAACCATTTTCTCCCATTAGAGATGGCTTCCTAATTCTCAGATGCAGCAACTTTGCTCAAGCTTATGCAGATAATTTACTCTTGATATACTCCCACCGTTCCTATTCATATGAACTTTCTTTAGAACTTTGGAACGTTCCAAAATGTTTGGCACCATCTACAACTTTCAAGAATTCAAATTTATCAAATCATTCAACTTTTAAACTTTGATGTAATATTTTCCCTACCAGAGAAGGTCCAAATATACCCCTGTACTTTCGAAAATGGTCTAAGAATATCCCTCGTTATACTATTGGGTTATTTATACCCCTGCAGTCATACTTTGGGTTCAAATATACCCCTCATTTAACGGAGGGACACCTGTCATCGTCTTATTGGCCAATTCTAAATATCTCCTAATTAATTAAAAATACCCATTATCCATACCCGAAAAACAATTTTATAAAGCAATTTTTTTTTTTGTAAAAACTGGAAAAAAACTGATTTTTTTTTTACTAAAAACTGAAAAAAACGAAAATATTTTTTTTTTAATTTTTACAAAAATACTTCTTCAAAAAAAACTGAAAATTATTTTTTAAAACAATGTTTTTGTAAAAACTGGATAACAAAACTGAAAAATAATTTTCTAAAGCAATTAAAAACTGAAAAAAACTGATTTTTTAAAACTAAAAACTGAAAAAAAAGAAAATATTTGTTTTTTCAGGTTTTACAAAAATATTGCTTTAGAAAATTGCGTATCAGTTTTTGTTTTTTAGTTTTTACAAAAATAATTGCTTTAGAAATTATTTTTCAGTTTTTTTTAAAGCAATGTTTTTCTAAAAACTGGAAAAAAATATTTTCGATTTTTTCAGTTTTTAGTAAAAAAAAAAATCAGTTTTTTTCCGTTTTTAATTGCTTTAGAAAATTGTTTTTCAGTTTTTACAAAAACATTGTTTTAGAAAGTTTTTTTTAAAGCAGATTTTTTTTGTAAAAAATGAAAAAATAAATATTTTCGTTTTTTTAGTTTTTAGTGAAAAAAATATCAGTTTTTTCCAGTTTTTACAAAAAAAAAATTGTTTTATAAAATTGTTTTTCGGGTATGAATAATGGGTAATTTTAATTAATTAGGAGATATTTAGAATTGGCCAATAAGACGATGACACGTGTCCCTCCGTTAAATGAGGGGTATATTTGAACCCAAAGTATGACTGCAGGGGTATAAATAACCCAATAGTATAACGAGGGATATTCTTAGACCATTTTCGAAAGTACAGGGGTATATTTGGACCTTCTCCGNGAATGGGACTTCTTAAACATGCTTAAATGCTTATTCCGATTCTGTTGGTATCTTTTATAGAATGTTATTATGATCCAGAATTTATTCTCGGATTTCACTTTTCACTGAACTAACAATTCAATATCAAAAATAAAAAGATCACTCTGTTTTCTTTTTCTCTGTAATACCAACTATCAAATGGTTTCAAGACTAGTAGTCTGATTTCTAGGAAGATATCAGATATGGAGAATCACCCTTTCTCTTTTTTCACAACTAACTCTTAGAAGTTATGCTCAGAAGGTATCCACTTGGCAAATTGATACTTACACTTTAGGAAAAGGGAGAATTATTCTAAAATGGAGCAAACCACAAGGATAGTATATGCTTGGACTGTTGGATCACGTTGAATTTAATAACAAGCTCACTTGGTGCTATAATTAAGTAACAACAATAACAACCCAGTATATTCCCACAAGTGGGGTTTAGAGAGAGTAGGATGTACGCAACCTTACCCCTACCCCGCAAGGGCAGAGAGACTGTTTCCGGTAGACCCTCGGCTAGAGAAAAGATGGAAGAAGCACCGATAGCAAGTAATAACAATACAGGATAATTAGAAAACTAAATCCAAGATAGCAAAAGAGAAGATGAAAGAAGTACTGATAGCAAGTAATAATAGTGCAAGATATTTAGTGATAGCAAACTAGGGTGCTATAATTAAGTATAAAGGATATAATTTTATTTCCCATAACTCATTTGTGAAGCAACAAGATTTCTATGATTACCATTCCTAGGTGCTTTTATTTTGAAGTAGCACACTCAAACTCATAGTAAGTCTTCCATATCTATGTGAGAATCTAGAAAGTAGAGAATATAAGGAATCCCAGAGCAGTATTATGAAAACATAAAGATTTATAACCTGACGAAGGCCTTTAGAGTTGAAAGGAGACTGTCGAACAATCCTGTGAGTTCCTTTCTCCCCTGACAAGTAACCATATGCATACCGTCCTTCAATTTCAATAGTGGCTGACTTGATCCCAGCTTCTTCTCCCATAGACTTCTCAACAACTTTCGTCTTATACCGCTGCTTTTCTCCCCATCTCACATACATCCTGAGAAGCATATCAGCCCAATCCTGCACTGGAATTAATCAAAAATATTCTAATGTAAAAGAGCCACAAAAAAAGTAAAGAAAACTGTAACACAGTGATTTCGCAAGTTTTAAAGACGTGAAACTATGATAAAACAGGAGGACTAGCAGAAAATATAAGGAGCAGAGACCTATAATGAGAAAGAGCAGGACAAGGTTTTAAAGCAAAAATAGAGCACCAATCATGTGTACTCTACATCATATCTTATCATTCTATTTTTTTTTTTTACAAGTGAAGATTAATAATATAAGTCATATCATGCTTTATTTGAGAATCTCCCTCTGATCAAAATGCAACTCCAAAACGTTTAAGTCGCCTGTTCAACCATATATGAAGGCTTTTAAACAGAGAAAACACACTGAGTTGAAATCTATATGGACAATGATAGTTAATGCTCACAGCAAAGAATGAATTTCTACATTGCAGCAAGGCACCTAAGACTGTATTCTGGTTTTTATAAATGACCATTACTGCATTATCGTAATCAGCTAAAATGAAAAAGAACCCTTTCGCATAGCAGGAAGTATATGGGATACTGCCTCACCGCTTCGAGTGAAAAACCATGATGATATTCATGAAAAATGTGAACGAATATGAAATTTTAATCATTGGGGTCCATATGCAATCAATAACTCTAGTCCCTAGCAATCAGATCCAGCATTACCTGTGCATCAGTGCCCCCTGCACCAGCTGTGATAGTAACCACAGCTGCTTCTTTATCATAGGGGCCTGAAAGAAGTTGAGTCAACTCATAACGATCCAGTGCCTTGTTCAATTCCTTTATGATACCAGCAGCCTCCTGAAGAAGCCCTGAGTCAATAGAGTCCATCTCCTCAGTGAGCTTAATAATTGTTTCTGCATCATCAGCCTGTGGAAGTGCGAATTCCTGAATTTGTCATAGTCTGTCGTATTGACACTGTGGATTATGCATGTATATCCAAACAAGTGGTGAGATACCTGAGATGTTTTAGAGGACCGGGAGAAATTCTAAAAGAGCAACAAACAGATCGAAGATTTGCAAATTGTTGAAATGGGTATCAAAGGGAACCAAAAGTAGACAACTGTCTGCACTATACCTTCCTCTTTGATTTTTAGTTTACCATCCAAACTTTGGACAGAAACAAGGAGGTATTAACAAGAAATGAAAGGAAATTCTACAAGTACATCATAAGATTGGTAACCACTCGATTGTTAAATGTCCTTGAACCATTGACCATTTACGGACAGGACAAACCAAAGTTAAAGTTGGCATGCACCTCGCAAGATAATATAGGAACTCCAGTGTAAGATTAATCTAGTACAAAAGATACGTCACCAAAAACAAAAAATAACAACTTCAAACCAGTGCGCGCTCTTTGGGGGAAAAGTGTAGGTACCTGTGTCTTGAAGTCATGGAGAAGCTTTAATTTGTCTTTGTAATCAGTTAAAGCTTGAAGTGTTTCCTGAGCTTTAGCACGATTATCCCAGAGAGAGCTATCAGCTGCTGCTGCTTCTAAAGCTGCAAGATCATGTTGAAGTTGCTTCAGACCAGCAGCAGCTCTAATCTCTTCAACACGCTCGAAGACGGTCTCTACATCCTTCCTTAAAGTATAGAAATCTGTAAGCAAATAAACAGTGAGAACAGTCCAACTTCATAATATTGTAAACGACATATAATGAGCCAAATACTCCACAAAACATTCACACTTCAGCAGAAGATAGCACAAAGATTTTGAGTGCTAGTCAGAAAATTGTGACTGCAGAAAGCTACTTCCTATCCACAAAATTTGAACTTCGAATTTCGATAAAAGTGAATTTCATTCAAAGATGACTAAAACGAGCCCCTTCCCTACACGCGATTCAGAAGGAAGTTCCAGTGGAAATATTTCAAATGTCAAACTAAATTTCATTTCGAAAAATAAAAAACCCAGTTGGATTCTAAGTACAAAAAGAATTACAATCAGACCAGTGAGGTGCATCCATATGCCAAAATACAGACACCTGACCCTATCAAAAACAAAGAAAACAGAGATTCGACTCTCTGCTTTTCCTGAGCCGAGGGTCCATCGAAATCAGCCTCTCTACCTTCACAAGACAGGGGTAAGGCTGCGTACACACTACCCTCCCCAGGCTCCACTTGCGGGATTACATTGGGTCTGTTGTTGTTGTTGTTGTAGATTCGACTCTCCATTATTCATCTCCACCTACTTAATCCATTTCAATTTTCAGACACTTTCTCGTTTTGCCACCCTCGCCAATCGTAATCCTCCTACCTTAATTAAATTCATGTGTGACATCCTCTTTGTTATAAATGAGCCCCAGAATCTAGCTTTAGCACCCCCTATGCCGCCACCTTCAGATTAATATTACTAAGGTCCCTTGCATTCCATTTCTTTCAATTAGTTAACAAATCCCTTTTTTCCTGTGAAGGTTTGCTGGGAATATGGCAACGGTTCCAAAGCAATATTACAGTTGCAATCGTTTTTACCAAAGAAAGCTATGAATCCACCAAATTTTGATACTTATAATGTCAAAGAAACGTAAAACTGATTACAAATATGAGAATAGAACCGTCCATTTCCTTGATGTTGAACTTTTTTGCACAGGTTTCATGGATTACAGCTTGCCTCATTCTCCATATACGACCTTTTAACCCTCACTTCCTTTTTCCAGTAAGGAGTTGAGTATAAGATTATTATGGGGGGGAATTGAGACAGGCTTCGGAACTAAAGAAACAAAACAAGGGGTCAGGATATACTTCGCTGGTTGGCATTACTGGATATGTTTATTCGGGTAAGTTTGAAGGATTCTTGTCTACAGATACTTCAAGAGAGCGTGTTAATCATATTTCAACTGATGAAAAATCTCAAGTTTTAAAGTAGCATAGTATGTGTGAATATGTGGACCCCACCTGTGTGATTATACTTGAGTTTGTTGTTGTTGTTGTTGTTATGTCTGAATACGTAATGTCCTGCTAATAGGTAAGGTTTCAAGTTTTTAATTTCTTCTAGGCCATATTCTCATAATGTTACAAATGCACAGCCATGCAATCATTACATTTGCAGAAGATA